CAAGTAAAAAGTCAGCCGGTGCTGGTGGAGTGAAAGTTTGAGTTCTGTGCTGTGCTTTCACAAGAAGAAAGACATTTAGCTGAGCTCCCCATAATCACAAGGTTTATAGGAAATGCAGAGAGAAAGAAGCAGCATGTGGCAAGACTCAGAATGCAGACAACTACTACAGATTTAGTCGGTTCAAAGCTTTTATGTCTAGCACCACATACACCAGAAATGGCAACAAAACAATAACCACAGCAAAGCATTCTGAGAACGGATGGCAATTTTGGCTCTTTAGTGGTGACGCTCGTGGCTTGAGGTTCTTTCGTTGTCTTCAATTGGTACGTTGTAATATGCTTCATTAGAATTTAACACACTAACACACTGCTTCAGTGACAAAACTGACTGGTATCACTCTGTTTTAAGAGGTACTGTTATTCCTGCTGAAAAACTAGCTCAAAGCCAGGATGAATTTCAATGGTTAGTGCTGGTTTGGTGCTGAAGAAGCCTCTGATACTGTCCCATGTTGGGGCCCAGCATCCGAAACACAACATATGTTGGTGTCCAGAAAAGCTGGTCTTTTAAACAGGGATCTACTATACATTTTTTTTGTAATTTTAAAACCGCCCTGTGGTGCATATCAAGTTTTTAACAATGTTTACATGTCTATCTGGTGTTTCTAATATGCTTAAAGGGGTCATCAGATGTAAAATTCATTTTTACATGTTGCTTGTACATAAATGTGTGTTGGCAGTGTGTGTACATAACCACCCTGTAATGATAAAAATCCACCCAATAGTGGATCTGGAAGTTACTTTTATCATTAAATTACAATTAATTTGCCCTGCAATAATTTCATAGCGCATCACCGCATGACGCGCTGTGATGATAATAAAAGATTAGGCTATTAGCATACTTCTCACTGAAAATGTTTTAAAAATTAAATGTTTTTTAAACGGGTCAATTCGTTTATACAATGAATTATAGGCCTATAATTAAAGTTATTAACACTGCAGTCATCAATGAAAATTAAGAGTAGCTTTAGCCTATTTCATGTACCAATTTTCAAAAACAACCCGTTTAACGCGAAATACGTTTCTTATGTTTTTCACTATGTACGGGCCACAAGAGAGAAATATTAAGGGAATAATTTAAGACAGTTATATACCCTTATCAGCATATATTGACTTAGATTAGTCTCTCATCGTCTCAGAGAATATGTGCCGTTAATGCAGCGTTAGGAAGCTCCGTCATTTTTTTTTTTACTTTCACTTTCTCTTTAGTGAATTGACTGAGGTTAAGACGTTCACTGGCATAACTATTGTGTAACGTTTGCATGTTGGTTGTGTGATATTCATTGGCTCACCTTCATGGTTTAAACCAGAAATATTTCCAATATTGCTGCTCACCATCCCCCACCCTCGGACAGGGGCCTCGCATTGCGTTTCGCTGCATAGTGGCCTATGTAGATTTTCCGCTGCGCCACTGCAATCCACCATTTTTTTGACACCGGAGCAGGTGTAGACAAGAATGTCTCATAAGCGATTGAGGTGTTTTGTTGTTGGATGTAATAATGAACATAGCAGTCATCATTTACTCCCGACATCTGAACCGCTGAAGACGCAGTGGATTACTTTTGTTTTTGAAGGGAATGCGCCCCCCCCCAATCTACCTAAATGCATCTATGTTCGCATGAATCATTCGTGATCCAGCTTCACCTACAGAAGAAGTGAGTATAAGGTTTTTTTTATGAATCTTTGCAAATCGCCTTTTTTAATAATGTGCTAGTTAGCAAGTTCCGCAGTTAAATGTGGCTAAAGTTTACAGTCTCATGAGAACGGCTCGTCACCCAATGGAAGAGAGGAGCAGGGTGAGCAGAGCTCATTAGCATTTAAAGGGACATGCACCAAAATGGGTCGCTGTGAACAGAGCTGTTTATGACAAGTTAAAAAGGGTGTTGTTTTACACTACCATTGAGAATGGGAATCCGATGACCCGTTTAAAGACAAACCATGTGCAGATTCATCATAGTCAACACCATTGCTAAAAAAAATCTCCTTAAAACTGCAGTGTATCAAAGACTATGGAAGCCTGTTTCCCCCACTGAATAAAAATAAAAAAGTTTACGTCTTGCAATTCTGACTTTCTTTTTTAGAATTGCATAATACAAACTCACATTTCTCAGAATTGTGAGATTTTAACTCGCAATTGCGAGTTATAAAGTCAGAATAGCGAGATATAAACTCGCAATTGTGAGAAATTAAAAAACTCGCAATTCTGACTTTTTTCTCAAATGTGAGTTTATATCTTGCAATTCTGACATTTTCTTGCAAATACGTGTTTGCATCTCGCAATTCTGACTTTTTTCTCACAATTCTCTTTTTTCTCACAATTCTGACTTTTCTCACAAATTCGAGTTTGTATCTCGCAATTCTAACTTTATTTCTCACAAATGCAAGTTTGTATATCGCAATTCTGACATTTTTCTTGCAAATGCGAGTTTATATTTTGCAATTCTGACTTTTTTCCTCACAATTTCGAGATATAAACTCGCAATTGAGAGTTATAAAGTCCCAATTCTGAGGGGGAATAGAGACTGATATGTTCTCAGAATTGCAAGTTTAGGCTATATCTCACAATTCTGAGAAAAAAGTCAGAATTGCGAGATATAAACTTGGAATTGCAAGAAAAAAGTCAGAATTGTGAGATAAAAAGTCTCATTTACATTTTTTTAAATTCAGTGGCAGTTACATGCTTCCATAAACAACATGCGTCTCATGTGTGGTTTAAAACAGCCTACAATTTCCTACAATCACAAACAACCAATCCTGTCAACTTGTGAGGAGGGGATTTTCATATCATTAGCTAATGTTCAAAGTGTTTCTGCCTAAGAAAGTTGATTATTTGAAAGTATCTGTCTGAGATGGTGAATGGAAACATGGTTTGTGTAACATTAGAAACTCATTATTAGCTGTTTGATAGTGTCAAAACCAAGCCAAAGGCTAATGATATCAATTACTGTTATGTGTCTAGTGTTGTAGAGAGCGATGCATAAAATACATTACCATTCTGACACATCAACTTGTAGTCGACCCTGTATAATTCGCTTTTTCTCTTCTTCTGAATCAGTTTCTGGATCTAACATATATGGTTGCATTAATTCAATATTGCCACGTAGCGTTTACTACAGTTGACTGAGTGAAAGTGAAGCAGGTAGTCTGAGCTGTTGTGACCGAGTGTGGACAGGGACTAATTTACATAATCATGAATATTTAGAAGAATCTTAAGTAAAATGCTGCTGTATGTTTTTAGAAGAGAAAAAGAACTAGACATCTTCTCATTTAAGTCGAAAACCATATATTGACATTCCAATAATTTTGGATGACAGCTCACATTTCTTTCCTGGCACTTATGTACATTATTATTATTATTATTAAATTTTTTTACGTCTTATGTTGTTAGATCAACTGTAATGTTCAGTCTTTAAAACTGACCTTTTTTGCATAAAAGTTCTGGCAACCACAGATGCTATTATTATTTTTTTACCGTAATTTTCCCAGATTTTTGCGGAGTACATTTGCCACCTTTCTGTACTGTGTGGTGAATGTCAGAATACATCAGATCAGAAAAACATGAAGTGATGTAAAAATAAAAAAAAATGTCTCTTTTTTTTTATAGACAAAGATGTGACCTAGATGTGCACCCAAATCATCAGTAATGCTTCCTCAAAATAGATTATGTAAAAGCTTGATTCAAATATCTTGAATAATGTAAAAATAGTCATATGAGCTACATGTGACCAAATCGCAGGAGTCAGTGTCCTGCTTAATTTTAACTCCAAAATCAAAAGAAAAAAAATATATATTGTTTTATACTGTAGCTCAACAGTAGATCAAATAATTAGCATTGACAAGGCAATGGGTTATATTACCAGAATATGCATGCTGATTTGTTGTTGTTGTAGAATAAAAACATCTGCCAAAAGCATATAAATATAAATATAAATTATAAATTTAACAATAGGTCTACCTTTTCCATTTTATTTTTTTATTGTTTTCCATGTAATGACAGTTATTTTTCTGCCCCAGTTCTTATAATCATTATGCAAAAAATTGTATAATGTATCATTTTGAATTAGCAGAAATTTAAGGTATTATAATACATACTGTACTGTCACGATGTGTAAATATGTAAGTTAATTAATATATCTTTTTTTTTACATTACAAAAATGGGTCATATATTTATATAATTAGAACAAAAATTTATTTATTAGTTTAGTTTAGTTTACTTGAGTTTACATAAGTTTAGTTTAGTTTTCAAGGTTAAATATTACCTGGACATGTTTTCATGAGATTGACCTGGTATTGTTGATAGCATCAAATTATTGACTGTGGCCTAAAAGAATGGTATACGCAATATTTGGTTGCAACTCAAGGACAAACATATATCTTCCCAAATCTCCTGTAACATCAGCCGAATGCACAGATCTGCTGGCTGATAATGTGATCTGTATCTGAAGGGAAATGAACGGCTGTGCCGGGCCGTGCAGGACAGATCCTGATGAACATATGGAGATCAAATACACAGGAGCAATGGAGCTATCATTTCCAGCATCAATGCACACAGGAGGCATGGGAGAGCTGATGCAGCCAGCCAGAAAAGCTCTGATCTGCATACTCCATGTTTGTGCACGTGTACGTGTGAGTCTGTGTTTACACATAAGCGCATACGGATACAATCACAGTGTGTTCAGCAAGCATGCAACTACAGAAGTGACCACTCACATGGACTTACCTCTCTCTCCTTCTGTCCCTCAGGCTTCCGTGTTTGTTCCAACATCTAGATAATAAGTCCTTTTTGCCTCTAGATGCAACTCAGGTGGAAAATCAATATTTTTATCCAGCTAATCTGTACTGTGTTTTTTCCCTTTCCATGTGCACTATCTGCACATCTGATCTATCTATAATTACACATGCAAGGCATGAATGTTTTTACAATTTCCTTTTTTCTGCTTTAGTTGGAATACTTCACCCTTGACCTATGGAGCATGACAGGGGAGATAGTCTTCATTCCTCTTTTCTGGCTGTCCAGGTCACATTTCATCCCAAATTCAAAAACTTAAAGAAGGAAGACAAGAAAATAAAGCCTATTAGGAACACGTTCCCCCAAGTTCTCATTGTTGTAATGCATAGAGACATTTTAACAGTAAATCCCCCCAAAATGATGATTCGCATTAGTTTCCCATTACTTTTAGCAGAATATTAAAAAAAAACAAAAAACAAATCATCATCAATTAATGCCAGTGCAACAAACCATGATAAAATGGAAATAATATCATTATTTTGTGCTTTACATTAATATGAAGTGTCGTGAATATCTTATTGGTCCTAGACTTCTTTTTCTTTAAGCAAAATATAATATCTTATTTCTCTTTTGATTTTGTGGTGAAATATGACCCAGAGATATTCTTGACAGGTTTCATAAGACTCAGCCATTAGAGAGTAGAGCGTTATGTCTGAGGATTTGTGAAGGACATAGTTTAGGAAATCTCAGTTATGCGGATCACTCTATAGACTGTAAGGTCAGAGTGTTAAAGTTGTGCTCTATATGCTGATCAAGAGTCGGCTCTCCTAAACAAATCTTCTAGTTTGCCATAATACTGCTGTCTGACCAATTTGTACCACTTTTTCCCTTTTTAAAATTAATTATGCATTTATTCTTTTATTATAAGGCTTTTAGTGACTTAAGTCTTCAATTTTGTTGTCGTTGTTGAATTTTATTCCCTTTTTGTTTTATATCTCACACTCCTTCACAGAACTTTCATTGTGATTTATGATGATTTATGACTGATTACTAAGCAGAGAAAATTTGACAAAGCCTTAGCATAAACCTGCACCTGTCACGCCCCTGGACTCTTTGTGTTGTGTTTTCCCTCCCCAGGTGTGCTGTGTTCCCTTTAATTAGTCATTCCTTGCACCTGTGTTTTCCCAATCACCCAGTGTTTAAAAGCCCCAGTCCTTTCAGTTCGTGTTTGTCGGTCCTCGAACGTCATTCCTTGTGTTCCAGTGTCTCCTACGTTGTCCATGTGATCATTAAAGACTGTGAATTGAAGTATCTCCATGTTTCCTCGTTCCTCGCTCCTTGCCTCCCGAGAATTGTGACAGAAGGACCGACCAAAACGCCCAAGAGCTCTCTACAGTGCCCGCTCAAAAATGCCTGCCCTCCCACCCGCTCCAGCCTCCTCCACCGCTGGCAGCCCCTCTGCTCGCCCTCAGCCCACCATCATTGCGGTGCGAGCCCCGCGGGACTGCCATTCTCCAGCGTCACCGTGGTTGGAGTCTCCTACGTTCCCCGTGTGATCATTAAAGACTGTGAATTGAAGTATCTCCGTGTTTCCTCGTTCCTCGCTCCTTGCCTCCCGAGAATTGTGACAGCACCATGAAAACCAGGTTTTTGTTAGTGAAGCCCATTAGTCCTATTGTAAACCCATTTTGGTGTGCATATCACTTCAAAACATCAGCTTTACTAAAGCTAAAGTACATAGACTCCAAAATAATAAAGGTTTCAAAAGGGGGTTTTCAAAGCAATGCCATAGAACAGTGGTTCCCAATCCTGGTCCTGGAGAACCCCCCCAACACTGCATGTTTTTGGTGCCTCTCTTATCTGACACTCACATTTGAGGTCTTGGAGTCTTCACTAATGAGCTGATGAGTTGAATCAGGTGTGTTTAAATGGGGAGACATCTAAAATGTGCAGTGTTGGGGGTTCTCCAGGACCAGGATTGGGAACCACTGCCATAGAAGAACCATTTCATGCCATTTTAGGTTCCTCCAACAAACTTACAGTGAACAGATCTTAAAAGAACTGTTGAGGCCGGATTTACAAAACATAGCAAATTAGTGCGAGAGCGCAATTCCAAAACAGGGCGTGGAAATTTCAGTGGGTGATTTACTGACAACGCGCAAATGAAAGAACACAGACGCAACACAGGGTGTCTGCGGGTCCTTAAAATGTCTTAAATTCGGATTCGATGGGTCTTGAATATATTTGGTCACATTACCGCTAAAATATCTTAAGTCTGACGGACCTAATGACTGTTTACAATCATTGGACAGATCGAAGATTTTTTTCTTCCCCGCGGTAAGTTACTGCGTCATCAGAGAGAATTGCAGTAAGTTAGCAGAATGCAGAATACAAGGTCGCGCTGAGGCTCACTCTGTTTGTCTCTTTGTGAGAGTCTTCATAACAAATGATCTGCAGACAATATTCCATACAAAATATCATTTTGTTATGATAACTTTGCCGGCGCTCTCTTCTTGGGGTTCTGTCCTCTCTCTCTCTCTTTCTCTATCTCTAACATTTAACTGTATATGTTTTATCATCCTTCATCTATTTTTGAAAGCATAAGAACATAGTCTTGATTCAGCATTAACATTGAAGTGATACAATATAAACACGATACAACAATACAATATAGTCACACAATAGCAATGCTCTCTCACATATTTTGCTATTCTAACTGCGCTTATTTCCGTTGTTGGTAGAAGTGGCAGTTGGTGGTAATAGACAAGAAAAGTACAGTCAAACCATCTTTCTAATAACGTTTCTTTAGTCCTTCGGCAATCCTGCAGCCTGAACCACTGTAATGAAACCACCCTAACTGGTTGTTAAAAGTTCTTCATGGAACTACCGATGCCAGTAAGAAAAAGTTTATTTTTAAGAGTGTGTTGGTTAAACTGTGGTTGAGTTTCATTGTTTTCTCATGTCTCAAGTCAACATGAAATGATGTTCACAACCCATTTTAATTCTGCAATGTAGCATCCTTCTGAGAGAAATAGGATATTCAATTAGGAAAAAGAAAATGTGAAAACCTAAAGAACATGAAAAACATGACCTTATATTAAGGTTAATTGACTATATAGTGAAAAGTAGTTTCAGCAGGTGGTTGGTGGGAAGGGCTTGGTTATATCAGCTGAAGAAGAAAGTTGTTTCAGATTTAATTATGAAAACATTTTTTATTTTCTTTGGAGTAACATGCACCAGTCATTCACAATAAGACAGGACATGTCTTTTAATAAAGAAAATGGCACTTTTTTTTTTCTAACTTTAAATCTCCTGTTCTGAACATCATGCAGTTTCACTTCTGTATTAGCGACCTTGAGAAGGAACATCTCGTCTTCTGTCCTTCATCTGTCCGTCATTTTTGTTAGGATTTTTTTTTTCATGCTCAGTTTATAACCCCAGCTGGAATACTTGGCACTATTGGGAACCTCATCTAATATATTTTTAAAAATATTTTATGTCTCAATCAGGATTTTATGATTACAAGCATGATTCCCTCTTTTGCTTCATTTAAGTGAGCAAAGATGGTCCGATGAACCGTTTGAGCCTTTAGACATGTTTTCATTAAGACTAAAATGAGAATCCAAATAACTCATTTAATTCACATTTCGGGCTTTAATTAAAATGAGACAGACATTTTGAGTCAGCGGAATTAATGTGAATACATGATATTCTGTTGCGCATTTCAAAGTGCAGCTCTGTGGCAAAATTCTCTCTCTCTTTCTCTCCTGCCAGACCAGATCTAGTCCCTTAGAGAGATATGCACACATTAATTATAACGCTGCATTAAAAGTCAGTCATGCCATACGCAGCCTCTTAGAGACTGGCCGGTCACTCCCAAATCCTCCTCAGGCACTGATCCAATCAGAATGGGGAAGAACGGGAAAATGTTCCTTGAAATGGGTCATAGAAAGAAAGTTTTCCCTTATGAGCGAGAACAGAGCGCTGGGCAAAAAGGGAGATTCTGGGAAATGTAGAATAGGATGAGGACACACAAGAGAAAAAGCTACCAGGCTGAAAAAAGAACAAGGAAGGTGAGGGGCATTAAATGAGAAAAGCAAAGCAGGAGGTCCGATTCATGTGGAGTGAGATGTGTTGATCTTGTGATCGACCATACATCACATTCTTTCCAACCTGGTTTTTATAGTAAACTAAAATAATAAATAAAAAAAAATGAATGAATAAATAAACATTTTATTACTTGAAATAAATGTTAACTTAATGTTAACTATAAACAGTAAATAATAATTAAAAAAATTACAAAAAGACAGCAAAATTACAAAAAAGTACAAAACAATTATGAAAAGCAAAATGTGGATGCATGTCCATACACACACACACACACACACACACACACACACGTGTGTGTATATTTTTTTTTAAATAACTTGTATGTTTTGTAAAACATTTAAACACTGCATACTGTATGTTAGAAGTTAATCAGAAATGAATGCAATTGATACAAAGAAGCTCATAAACATGGTGCACCTCTTTTAAATGCAGCTTTCTTGCACTGTTGGGTTTTTAGAATTTTAGGCTTTGATATTCAATGGAATATTGTGGCTTTGCCAATCCCTATATATATATTTTTTTTTTTACTGTAAGGGCATCTAACCTGTTTAATATATATACATACTGTATATGTATTTGCATGCATTGACATATATAGCATATACTAAGATGCTTTTAAAAGGACATAATAAAATTCCTTTAAAAAAACAATTACATTCTTGGATGAGAGAATCACAATAAATCACTGATAAGTTTGTGTGTGCACCTTAAATATACAGATATGTTTCCCAGCATGGGAAAATGATAAATAATAATAAAAAAAAAATAATTAAATTAGAATTTAATAATTAAAAATGTTTATTTTTTTAAATCATTTACATTTTTTTTTTAAATTATGCATGGAAAATTTACTTAATTTTCACTCAGAAATTGCTACATTTCAAAACATTAAATTAAACATGAAATTTTGAATTGTAAAACACCCTCCAAAAACTTTTTTTTACAACTTTTTTAAGTAGTAACCAACATAGGCTCATTGGAAATACGATTTGAAAACTGACACTTTTGAACATGTCGTGACATATCAGCTTCATATGCATGAATTTTGTAATTCAGTAGGTTTGCTAGGTAGCTCACGCGATACGGCATTGCTCTTGAGTGATGAAGAGCTCCGGTACGAACCCCGTGAAACTACGGTTCAACAAAAGAGCTCAAATCCACATACGGAAGTTAAAATAGCACGGCTGCATCAACAAATGTGTTTTTATATCACTTTTGCATTTGTTAACACTATCGGGTAGGTTTAGGGTCAGGTATATTTCCAACACGATAGAGCATTAACCTTTTGCGACAGTTC